AATGATGGACAGACGGCCTTGATTTTTAAATTTAAGCCAAGTACACAAAACTAAGGCTTGCATTGCTCCAATTTTAGTGACTTTAAAGATGCCAGCATATGCGATCGCATGGCAAAATTAACTCAGAGTCGCCCGCCAATCAAGCTTACGTGCAGACTCGATGCATATTGTTTTTTCAGTGAACGCTAGAAGCAAGAGAGTATACAAAAAGAAAATAAGATGTGCTGGCCGCAGCTTAGTGGCTGTGTGCCAAATCGATAAGTGTTACGCCCCTTGAAAGGGCTTACAAAGTAGAAGGCGAAGAATAATTAACTAAGAAGTATAACAGAAGTACTAACAAATTCTCCGATATTTTTTGGTAAGACTCAACTTGTTGCAAAGTTTAATAATCAAAATATTGGTCATTTATGTCTATGGTCTTTTACCACTCACCACCTGTTGTGCTAACTATGACAGCATCGACCTGAACCAATGTTATTCGCCAAAAGACACAAACATGTCTGAAAAATACGCCACATATATGTTCTCAAGCCAAGTTGAAAATCACCTCCCAGATTATATTGAACTAGACTGCAAATTTTTTCAAGAGTAAAACTTTTTGCCTGAAATCTCCCTTCTAACTGCTTTACAGCTTACTTACTGCGTATTCACTCCAAGGCAATTTAATCTTTTCCGCAGCTTCACCTGCATTTTTTCCGGTTTAACCTAATCAAATACAGAGCCGTAAATGAGACGCGGATGAACTTCTGCAAATTTTTATCGTTTTCAAGACTAAAATTTTCCGCCCGAAATCTCACAGGTAAACCTCCTAACTGCTTCATAGCTTACTACGTATTCACACCAAGGCAATTTAATCTTGTCCTTAGGTTCACCTGCACTTTTTCCGGTTTAACCTAGTCACTCGCAGTGCCATAAATAAGAAAAAAAACCCTCTAATTAAACATATGCAAATAAAACTGCAAAAGAAAGAAGCTTGTGCAGTTGAAAATAGCTATAATGTGTAACCATAAAGCTCTATTAATTTAGAATGGAAACATACTACGAGATCGAACCAAACTGCTGCCATATTTATAAAAATGGAAACTAAAGAAAAATGACTGAACCATACCGAGCATTCAATGCTTAGTAATTCATGGTAGTGGAAAATGAATTCCATGAACATTCTTACAAAAGGTTTCCCAGTTCTTTCTCTATCCTTTAATTTTTGAAGATTACCTTTTATTTTTACTTTCAATTTGAACATAATCCAAAATTCGTATCTATTCTTCTCAGCCACTTTTGATGAATAATGGCGAAATAAATATGTAAAAAAAAAAAAATGGTTATTATAATAATTTGACAAAGTCAATTTGATATTTAAACCGAGGTATCATAGAGAAAGGAAAGCGGAAATTTTTATAAACTGCAGATACCTTTTCGCTACAATTCATTCAAATCAATTCAATGAAGCGAAAAAAAAGCACACTCGGATGTGAGGGCGTAAGTTTTATGTCATGACTATTGTCATGAGCCATTAAAAAGATCCATAAAATCTACCGACAACGTGCAATAATGAACATTTATATGCATAATATTTGAAAAAGTTACAATTATATGCTGATAGCTCTTGTTGTCGACAAGCTTTAAAACAATGAATCCTTCTTAATTATATGCTTTCCTATAAATTTATTTTTATATAATTTAAATAAAAAATTATTAAGCTCGCAGCTTTGTCGGAAACATGAACACATTTATACATACATACTCTCCAGAATGCTCATAGTCTGACTGTTTGAGAAGTCGTTGTACAATGTATTGTCGTTGAATCGCTGACACTCAGTAAGGGTTGCTGAACTGCTTCTTTATAGATAGTTAAATTTCTCTTACCTATGACAAAATCAAAATTTGAAATTTTACCTGTTCCCGATTCAATACAAATCCTTTTTTTTGATTTAAATCTGGGGTTTTCTAACAACAATATATAGAATTTTTAATTGATGCTGGAACTTGGAATTTCCTTAACATATATAAATTATAGCGTTGTTACGTTAGTATTTTCATTCGTTTTTAAAAAATTTAGGTCGGAAATTATTTTTGGTATAAATTTCAGCTAAAAATTTTGTAGACTGATTTTTTGTTTTTCTTCCCGCGCATCCTTAACAAGTTGTTCCATTACAATTAGTATTTGCTTGTACTCTGCATCACTTGCAGTGTGAAGGTATATTATATTAGCGGGAATATATGTAGCAGCCAGATATTATAATGATCAGCTTAAAGTTACCCTCTCAATTAATCAGCGCCTGTCTATCCGTCCTTTTCTTTATGCGCAGTTCAACATACAACCGTTCATCCCATTGCCATTTTCAACAGGTACACGTTTTCAATTGAAAGTGTGTCCCTAGGTATATCTATTAAAAAAAATTAATCTTGCTTAAATAGTTTAAATATTTATTATCTTGTAATCATCATTAGTGGTTTGGAATCAGTTCATTGCACTGTTGACACTTGAGTCAAAATTTCTCGGCATTATTTGTGGCGCCAGCTGACAAATGAAAAGATAGGTGGAAAGAAAGACAAAAATTACGCCCAAATAATGTCGTTATTGAAATTTGCAGAAAATTACCTTCCTTTGCCTCTATACGACGCAAGCTTTTCAGTTCAAACTAATCAAAATTTCAATATATGACAGGTACAATTCGAATATGTTGAGGAAATTCCAAGTCTCATCATTAATCATAAAATATGGTTTAAAATTCTAAATGTCAGTGAATGAAAAGAAAGAAGAAAATGTATATGTCGTGAAGCGGGCAACAGGTGTAATTACACCTAGGTAAAATTTTAAACTTTGATTTTGTTAGAGGTATAGCGAATGTGCCTATATAAAGAAATGATCTGATTATCGTTATTCAGTATTAGTGATTCAATAATAGTATATTGTACAACGACTTCTCAAACTGTCAGGCTATGAGCATTCTGGAGAGCATCTATCCCGTTATGGAACAACTTGTTAAGCTTGCAAAGTATTGCCTTAATATTGAGAGATTGATCGAAACAACTTACGATCATAATGAACGGGAGCATTGGGTAAACGTATTGAACATACATTCACTGATATTGATGAACAACTTTGATGACATAGTGAGCGTAGCCATTAGCATGTTGCCGACATATAAATATTCTTCTGAACGAGATGATGGGAATGAAAAATGCTGTGCTGTATGCCTGATTGATTTTCAATTGAATGAAATTATCCGCAAGCTGCCCTGTGCTCATGATTTCCACGCTGATTGTGCGGATAAATGGTTAAAATTACACCAAACTTGTCCTATGTGTCGGGCATGTGTATTTAATGGTTAGAATAATTTTTTTAAGGAAAGAAAATTTCAAAATAATTTTAAATTCAAGAGATTTTATAGGCCTCGTAACGTAGTTAACCTCATGTTTCTAATCTTAGTTAATATTAAATAAAGAAATTATAAAATTTTATATTGCTTCTATCTACTCTGCACAATTTGTGAAAAAAAGGTATAGTAAATTTGTGTGAATGTATGCAACACTCAAAAAAACGGAAACGAGTTCTAATTCGACCTAAGCTTGCCTCGTTCTTTTGTGTTTAACGTAGAGGTCGCAATTTTTGAGATATTTTGATGAAATTTAGTACAATGCCACGCGTGGGCCAAAGAAAAGCGCTTTTGAAAATAGTTCGGATCACGCACTTTTTCGATCACTTGCTACGTAGCACCGCATTTTGCAAAGTCGCTATATGATTAATTGTAAGGGGATGTAGAGAATTTAATCGCATGTCATATTCCCCTATTGTTGTTGTTGTATTGTTTCATTACGATTTTTCTTTTTTTGATCGCTTGGATTGGAAGAGATCTGTTATTGCCTTACATTTGGTTTTATGGACTTTGCATTATATAAATTGAATGCATTCCAGCTTTCTCAATCACTTGCCTGTATTAAGACAACAGTTTATCGAGCAATTTATTTCCTGTTTGCGCAATGCAGCTTCGACCTTTGCCATTACTAAAACCCTGGTATACCGAGTTAAATTGTGGCCGCGTTCGCTCACCAGTAAAAGTCGTGAGAGTTATCGTAAAATCACTTGTTGTGTCTGAAAATGCAGAACAAAAACTCAGAATAGAAGATCGACATATGACATATTGCGAGATTTAGGCGTTCGCTGAACCAACATATAGAAAATGTCAGAAATATTGCTTAGTGTTAAGATAGATCGGAATTCTCACAAAATTTTGGCATATAAACGAATACTTTTGTAGTTGCGATAGAAAAATTGTGCCGGAAGTCTTGGCTCTTTATCAAATACGAGGATTTCTACAGAATACAATAAAATAAGCAATGAAAACGAATTAGGACAATATTGTGACTCTTTTATAGATTGAAATCCGTCGTCTTATGCAGAAAAGCAGCTCAGCTGTTGTCTCGTCGTAAGCATATCTGTAAAGAAAATTAATCTTGCTTAGACAGTTCAAATACTTATTATCTTGTAGTCATCACAAGTGATTTGGAATCAGTTCATTGCACTGTTGACAGTTGAGTCAAAACTTTTCGGCATTATTTGTGGCGTTAGCTGACAAATGAAAAGTTAGGCGGAAAGAAAGACAAAAAGTAGACCCAAATAATCTCGTTTTTGAAATTTGTAGGAAAGTTAACTGCCTTTGCCTATATACAGGGTCTTAAGTGTTGGACTCACGCTTTTCAGTTCAAACAAACCAAAAATTTAACATATGACAGGTACAATTCGAATATGTTGAGGAAATTCCAAGTCTCATCATTAATCATAAAATATGGTTTAAAATTCTATATGGCAGTGAATGAAAAGAAAGAAGAAAATGTATTTTGCCGTGAAGCGGGCAACAGGTGTAATTACACCCAGGTAAAATAGAAATTGTTAGAGCTATATTTGCCTATATAAAGAAATGATCCGATTATTGTTATTCAGTGTTAGTGATTCAACGACAGCATCACTGTAGAACGACTTCTTAAACTATCTGATTATGAGTATTCCGGAGAGTGTCTATCACATTATGGACCAAGTTGCTGAGATTGTAGAACGTTGCAATAAAATTAAGAGATTGATCGAAACAACTTCTGATCGCGATCAGCTATTGCAATTCATGAACGAATTGAACAATTGTGATCTTAAGTTGGACGTTCTATTGGATGACGTAAGAAGCATACAGGTTGAAACGTTACCGAAATACGAATTTTCTTCCGCATCAAATGATGGGAGCGAACAATGTTGTGCTGTATGTCTGAATGATTTTCAATTGAATGAAATTATACGTAAGCTGCCCTGTGCTCATGATTTCCACTCTGATTGTGTGGACAAATGGATAAAATTGCACCAAACTTGTCCTATGTGCCGGGCATGTACGTTTGATGGTTAGAATAATTTTTTAAGAAAAGAAAATTTCAAAATAATTTTAAATTTAAGAGATCATCTTATAGGCCTGCAATGTAAATAGCATTGTGCTTCTAATGTTAGTTAGCATTAAATAAAGAAATTATAAAATTTTATATTGTTTCTATCGGTTTAATTATTACACTGTCCGCCACTTGTGCCAGGGTATGTTGTCTTTGTGTGGATGTATGCTACACACAGAAGGACAGAAAATAATTCTGAATCGATTTAGGCTTGTCTGTCCGTTCTTTTTTTTTTTTTTTTGTTGAACTTACAAGTGTCGCAATTTTGGAGACATTTTGTTCAAGTTTGTTATGCCAATATGTTTGGCCTAAGGACTGACGCTTCTATACTTCCTATATATCAACATATTTTGAAAAGCCGTTATATGATTAAGTATAATGTGATACAGGGTATGTATTAGTGGGCTACGATCCGCTACCGTGTTTCCCCTTGTTATACCCACCGCCGAAGGATGATGAGTATATAAATTTATTTATTGCAACGCCTAAAAGTTAGCTTCGAAGACGCCAAAGAGTATATGTATTCCTAATCAGCATCAAATTTTGAATCGATGTAAGCGTTTTCGTTTATGTAACCTGTGCGTTGTAAACCTTCTGCTGGCACGCAGGTTCTTGTTAATATGGTCCAAGCCCCAAAAAGCATATAAATTCTTGGCCACTTTCAAATTCGGAATGCAACTTGCGCATACCCGTCTGCTTGTCTGTCCGTGTGAGAAATTGTGGTAAACAGCTGTGGTAAACCTTCTCACGTTCGTAAAAATGAAGACATCGCCTATAAGCTTGTGGGAGAATGTGAAAATTACCCAAACTTTTCATAGACCAAGTCTACAACGCCCACACGTTCACACAACAACAGCAGTGTAGTTCTTTTTCGTCCTTCTATGGACTTTCTATTATTTAAATTCGTCAATAAGTGAATGAATTCCAATCTTCGCCAATATTTTTGCAAAATCGGAAGAGATAATCCAAGTATACACTTTCTCCGGCAAAACGTCTGAAACCAAAAAATTAATAAATTAAAAAATCTTAAATATAATTTTCGCCTTTTTTAAATCTAGCTGTATATAGGCATTGTCAAGGACGCGGATTGCTTTTTTTGCATATAAACCACCGAAGTCTACTCGTTTTAATTTCATCTGCATCTTTCGTAAAACATTTGTCTGAGAAGACGTTTCGCCTGCTAATGTCTAAGTCAAGTTTTATTACAATTTGGTTTTGAAATTTTTTTCGCAAAAAACTCTTCTTATAAGACCAGAGTGAATTGTAGGCAGAAGACTTGTAACAATTAGACGAGAGGCATGATTTCCTCCAGGGTTCGAACTTCCAGAGTAATTAGGTCTACATTTAATGAGAATATAGATAAATTTCGTTCGATTGCAAGTGGCGTTGATGGGGCGGTATATGTAATAGCACTGCTGTAAGATGATTTATTTAAAGTAGAAGGTTGCAGGAATTTTTTTGAAAAAAATCGCTAACCCATCATATTCTCCCTTTGTAAATTAATGTGATAAATTTATATCGGATGGGACAAGTTGAAACGAAAATTGTGTCTTTATTTGGCCCTGATATGGCGACAAAATCTAATTTGTAATTTGTCTTAGCGGCTGAAAAGTAATAAAATCTTGAAAATGTGTATTATATGCTATATGTGTATGTGTGCTATAGCAGTTGACGTTTCGAACATCCTCCAGTAGAAGAGTTTTCATGAAAAATTTGCCTTCGCATGAAAAGAATGTAAAATTTTTGGTGTATTATCACGAAATGAACGAATAACTGTATTAGGTGAAGTTGCATACCTAATAGTCGACCTTGCCCAAGTGTAACGTTTTTAAGTCATTTTATATCCTACATTCTAGTGGCACAATTATGCACAAGTTGGGGAAGAAGGTATATGACATCCGGAATAACTTTATGCACTTGCTTACATTAATCATTTCGCGAAATGATCTAAGCTTGTCTGCCCATCCGTTCGTCCTTCCATGTATTTTTGTGTTTAAGCTACAGATCGCAATTTATGAGAAATATCGATAAAATTTGGTACATCGGCATGTTTTGGCCCAAGCACGAAGATGTTTTGAAGATGTTTCGGACGCGAGTAGTTTTTTGTTATTATATGAATAACTGCATTAGATGAAGTGGCTTAAGGTACATAATGGCCGGCCTTGTGTTACATACGAATATTTAATTGCTCGACAAGTATATTGTGCATCATATGACTTGCTCTCTCGCTACGTAGGTTGGTATATGTTACAATTTGGGTATGTTGTAATGCTCTTCTCAAGAGATACATTCATTTTGCCAAATTTTTATCCTTTTTTTTTTTTTTTGCATGATTGCATGGAATATTATAACGTTAAACATACATATCATATAAATTCTTTAACAACTAACCGAGACACGCATGTGAAAAACTTAGTCAGTAAGCACGTTCTTGTACATGTTTTCTATCACTATAATGGTAATTTACTAATGGTATGGAGTACATTTTTCCAACTTGCGGAATACGCTTAACATTCCTATTCAATCCATTGACAACACCATTGTATATCACCACCGTTGCAAAAACGCACGACTTCGTACATGTTTGCGTTGGTCGTTGTTGAAGCATTAATCGCATGTATTTTTTTTCGCCAGTAAATAATCCTTAGCGATATGACAAAAAGGATTTTATAATTATCGCAATAAAATCACATAAGTTAGAAGGCATTTTATTGTTTGCTGTGCTCGTGAGGTAAACAGTTTGTTTTATAATAAAATTGATGTTGGAAAATTTTATTGACAATTGCTGCGAAAGCAATGACAAAAAATATGTACTATATCTTAAGAATGGTGACCGGTCACAACATCGGAATACGGCCATAAGTCGACGTTTTGAGCAATCTCCTTGCAAGATGAAGCGAAGATTCATTCAGTCACTCAGTTCAATATAGAAAACGTATCTCATCCGCGCAAGAGTTTATAGGTCTTCGTATCGTTATATCCGTGTCCCTCTGCATTAAAGTACCGCTTTTATCTATTTACATGCCACTTGTTGCCACTCGTGAGCGAATCTTTAGTCCGATTTAGTTGATTTTTAAAAAACGTGAGGTAAGGTTTAACAAGACATTCACGAGGCAAAGCTATAAACGAAAACATTTGCTATTTTGAGATCACAGTTTTAAAAAGAAAAGGATATTTTTAGTATTCTCTTAATCGTGGGCGGGCCACGAAGCAAATTTAGTCCATCCGACAAGAAAGAACTCCAACCAATTCAGTTTACTCATGCAAGGGCTTGATTTTGCAGTAAAAGAACAATCGACCAAGAAGGAAAAGTAAAGCACTTACCCCAATCATGATGATTAGGAACATGCACACACTACAGGGTTCCTATGCACATTTCTGCACTCTGCAAATACTAACACATAAATAATATATTCCTTCTGATGGGTACACAAACAGCTATTATATGCTTGGCCTTATTAAAAGTGAGATGAGCTTTTAGCAATAGTGGTATGATCGTTGGCAAAAGCACATGCTCTACGAAGCAATATAAGGTTTACAACCACTCAACAAATAGTAAGCCGTATATGTTGCGTTTGCTTTTCTTTTATATATAAAATATGAATATGTGTGTGCATATATATGTGAT